GAATCATTGCCTTTATAAATAAATTACATTTTTGCATTAAAGTAGTTTATGTTAAAAGTTTTATAATAAAATAATAATGAAATCAATAATCTGTTTCAAGAATGACGTAAAAAAATGAAAACATCGCATTGCAATTGTAAAATAGTTACGTCAGGCATTAAAATAACATTTATTAAAAAAGCATATATAAACTTTAATATTTAATACCGATAAAAATAAGTATTTTATTTAATTAAACATTAAGTTTACTTTGTATATGACAATAGTTAATAAAACTGCTGAAAATAGAGATATAAAAATTAGGATTCTTGTTAACAAATTTTACAAAAAATAAAATTTTTAAAAATAAATATTTTATAATTCATGCAAATTTCAAATAGTAACGATTAGCTTATTACCAACATTGCTGGTACAAATAAGTATCATTACGGTATATTGTAACGTAGAGATCAACACGTATAAACTCGTAGATATATGCATCTCCCCCCAAAATGTTATGGCCAAGGGTAATTCCGATACGTCATTGGATACATTAACTTTGACTTCCGTATCGTCTGCTATCATAGGCATCAGCATAAAAGTTGTCGAAGCAAAATAAGCCATAAATAAGATACTATAGCACACAATCCTTCCCATATAAGCGTGCCGCCGCATAATCATGCGTTTCTCCTCGGTATCTATCGCGAGATAGTCGTCCACAGCAGAAGAGAAATTGCGAATCAAATTATTGGCATATATGCGGAAGGACAGTACCTTCAGTAGACCAAGAATGTCGCAGATTATAATTTCAAAATTATCGAGCTGTACGTACGCATTGCCGCTACCAAAATTGATTTCGAGAAACACCAAGATCATCATCACGGTCTACACAAATAGAAAGAATTGTTTATTATAAAGTTCTATCGCTATTTATTGTTTTCTGCTACACTGAACGCCTCACTTGAACTGACGAACTTGATATATCAAAAATACGAGTGGCAGAGAAATTTTATCGCGATATTTAATATGAAAATTGAGAACATACCAAAATGAAGCAGCACACGATAGAACGGACTAAGGAAAATGTATTATATTTTTGCAAAGGCCAAATGCCCAGTGGCAGAGCAAAAGTTTTAAAAGGAGTAAAAGCGTACGCTATATCGGCATTCCATGACATTATAACAGTCACGTAGAGCTGTACGTTGCACGATACTCAATAATGCCGGTCTTTGTCTATAACACGAGCCGTATCATCGGCGATAGTTTGCTTTCATATTTTATTCAATATTTTACGCAATTTAACATTTACCATGTAAATGTAACATTTGCTAACGTACCATGTTATTTTTCAAAACACAGTTATTTGATACACATGCTGAGAGGGACAATTTTTTGTATGAAAGATGAATATAGCATAGACCGAACGAGGAAGTAGGGTGTTCCATTTTTTTTTCGAGACAGCGACTTCAGTTATTATTTGATCGTGTTGCAATACACTTTATTTCAATCCATCTTTTTATGAAAGAAAGTTGCTAGCGTAATGCTAATATTTTTTTTCTTGTTTGACAGTTATCAAATTGTATGCAACAACACATTTTTGCAATTGCGAGTCACGCATTACTGAACTTCTTAAAATGATGTGTCAACGTGATGTATTATACAATACGTTTATTGATATAACAAAGAAAGCAATTTTATTTACATAAAGTTAAATTATTCAATTCTAGACATATCATGATGTTTAACAGAATTTCTTATAAAATGATATTGCTTACGTGTACGGTGTTATCTTTTCAAGTTTTTCTCTCAACGGTTATTTGCGCCTTACGCGTCCACCATCACTCGTAGGACGGATAAGTATGAAAATGAGCTTTTTAATATGGTCATAAAAGATTCGATGTTTATTACGAAAAATCGACCAGCTAGCAACTGAACAGGTTGTTGCGACCGCAAGATGGTGAACACAATATTCTTCATTAATTTCAATGGAAGGTTGTACCAATTGCAGCTGTATATCGAATTCGCTACTTCTTCCATTTGACACTTCAGATAATCGCCCACAAAACTATAAAAGAACAACTGTAACAGTAGAGCGCCCAACACTGTTATCGTTTTAATTATCATCACTACGTCATGATGTTTTAACGCCAAGATGAGTTGGAAACCTGAAAAATATAAAATTACGCTGCATGCACAAATCAACTCTATGATATTAAGACACAAGACTTTTGGCAGCTTTATTAAATAATTTTATTATGTTATTAAAATGTCACAGAATAGGATTAAAAATCTTGTTGATCTTGTGGACATTTAGTAAAATTATAGCTTTTTAACGTATTTTAGCTTTCATTATTATACAAATTTACTGTTCTAGCAACATAATAATGCTTGTATCACACAATTGAAGAACTACTGAAACGGAGAGATATTTACCCATTAAGCAAATAAGAATACAATAAACCGACACTTGCACAAGCAAAACGAAATTTATTACATCTATCAGAAGTTCCGTATGCTCTATTAGAAAACGATGTCTTGATGTCAATACTGAAAAATCTTTACTTAGATTTTTGCTTTCCACGCCATAATTGGAAAATTCAATTTTTAGGATTTCCATTTGCCCGCAAACATGAATAGTTATTGCGAGGAAAAGTGAATCATTTCCTTCATAAATAAATTTTAATCTTACATTAAAATAACTTACATTAAAAGTTTTAATAATAATAAAGAGTTTATCAATTAATATTTGCTATACAAAAATGATACAAAAAGATAACATAATGTTATCGCATTGCAAGATGCAATATAGGGGAGAGTTGCCGAATGCGTATCGGTTACCGATCGCCTAAATCATTTAATAACAAAAAGGTGAAATAAATGAGAAATGAGTAATTTAAACGAAAATTTAACAGATTACATCTTGTTTTGTGCATGCTAACAACATTTAAAAAATTTGGGTACAACTGATATAAATATTTCAATCAATTTATATAGCTGATAATAATGTAATCAAAAAATTTTATTATAAATTTTTATATTTTTGTGAAAAAAGGTTTATTGTAGAATATTTTACATTTGTTGCATATTACATATATATATATATATATATATATATATGTAATTATTATAATGATTAAATCGATATTTTTATAAAATCTACTAAGTTTCCTAAATTGTACCATCGTAAAATTTCTTATATCGTAGCGGTACAACCTATAGGAACTCATACTGTATAGTCATGCGCACGCATCTCTGCGTTACGTGACATAATTTAGATTATGTTAACACGACAGTGACGTCTTTACCTTTTCATTATTGTAATTTGTTAATTATTAAGTATTTAATTTTTTTTTGATAAATTATTAGCAAAATATGTATATTTGTATAAGTTAATAATTACTTTCATTAATCTTATATTTTCAATTATTTTGCTTTGTGCAGCATGTTACAAAAAAGACTTATAACAAATTAATTTGTTATTAGTGTAAGGTTAAACATGTAATAATAGATGTCCGAAACATCAAGCTACAATTTCTAACATTTATTTGCGTACAAATCATTAAAAAGTGGAAAATATAATAAAAAATAACTTAAGTGGTACACATACGGAAACTCCCCTCTATATTTAAAAAAACATATATTAAAAAGTTAATAAAAATTTTATATGTAATATCGATAAAAATATGTCTCTTCTAATTAGACACCAAATTTAACTTGTATATTAATATTTATATAATAAAGTCGCTGACAGTAGAAATCTAAAAATTAGAAAACTTATTAATGAATGTTATTAAAAGTAAAACATTTGAAGTATATTAATATACAAGTGTCTTTAATATTAATAATTAGCTTATTACCACAATTGCAGTTGCTGTTGAGTATTAGTAGAATATATTGTACCGTAGAGATCACCAAATATAAACTTGAAGGTATAGAAGAGTTTCCAAAAATGCATGTTAAGGGCATGGGTAAGCCCGACGCTTGATTCTTGATGGATTCATTAACTTGGATATCCTCATCGCCTGCTAGTATAGGTAACAAACCGAAAATAGACGAAGCGACATAAGCGAAAAATAGGATACTGTAACACATCATCCTTCCCATGAATGCGTGCCGCCGCATGATCATCCGTTTCTTCTCAGTGTCGACCGCAAGATAATCGTTCACAGCAGAAGTAAAGTTGCGAATCAGATTGTCGGCGTACATGCGGTAGTACAATAGCTTTAGTACAGAGAGAAGGTTGCAGGTTATGAGCATAAGAAAATCGAGTTTCACCGTTGTATCACCGCTACCGAAAAGGATTTCGAGGGACAATATGATCATCATCACGGTCTACACAGACAGGTAGGATAGATTGTTTATTACGGAACTTTATTTCTCTTTTGTTTCTACTGTGTCAGCACTAAGCATTTCACTTGAACTGTCGAACTTGATATGTCGAAAATGAAATAGAAAGAGAAATTTTATCGCGATATCTAATATGAAAATTGAGAACGTACCAAACTGAAGCTGCATATGAAAGTACGGACTGCGGAATATATATCATATTTTTGCAAGGGCCAAACGCCTAATGGCAGAGTTAAAATTTTCAAGGGAGTAAAAGCGTACGTTATATCGGCATTCCATGACATTATCGCAGTTATGTAGAGCTGCACGTTGCACGATACTCTATAATGTCGGTCTTTGTCTATAACACGAGTCGATCATCGGCGACAGTTTGCTTTCATATTTTATTGAAGTTACGCAAATTAACATTTACCATGCAAATGTAACATTTGCTAACGTATCCTGTTATTTTTCAAAACACAGTTATTTGATACACAAGCTGAGAGGGACAATTTTTTGTATGAAAGATGAATGTGGCATAGACCGAACGAAGAAGTAGGGTGTCCTATTTTTCTTTCGAGACAGCGACTTCAGTTATCATTTGATCGTGTTGCAATACACTTTATTTTAATCCATCTTTTTATGAAAGAAAAGTTGCTAGCGTGGTGCTAATATTTTGTTTCTTGTTCGACGGTTATCAAATTGTATGCAACAACATATTTTTGCAATCGCGTGTCACGCATTGCTGAACTTCTTAAAATGATATGTCAACGTGATGTGTATTATACATTATGTCTATTGATATTGTTGCGCCCGTGTTGAGATATTGCGTGCTGAACTTCGCTTACGAGAAGCCTGAATGTCGCTCACGAGTAGCTTCAAGCCGAAGCCCGTTCTTTAACCGCGGGATGTATTGATCTGCGGATTAACAACAACGACTGTCAGATCTATGGGGAAACTCCGAACGTTCGGACGTGTTCTTCACCTGAAACGCTTTCCTATATTGAGTTCCTAATGAATCCTTGTGTTTCTTTTCTTACTAACAAAAGGTGTTCTCTCTTTACGCGAGTCTGGGAGTGCGCGGCGCGAACACGAGTGTCTTTGAGATTGCGAGGCGCAGCACAACAAATATAATAAAGAAAGCAAATTTATTTACATAAAGTTAATTATTCAATTCGAGACATATCATGGTGTTTTACAGAATTTTTTTATATAATGATATTGCTTACGTGTGTGTACCGTGTTATCTTTTCAAGTTTTTCTCTCAACAGTTACCTGCGCCTTACGTGTCCACCATCACCCGTAGGACGGATAAGTATGAGATTGAGCTTTTTAATATGGTCATATAAGTCTCAATGTTCACAACGAAAAATCTGCCGGCTAGCAACTGAACAGGTTGTTGCGACCGCATGATGGCGAACGCAACATTTCTCATTAATTTCAGTGGAAGGTTGTACCAATTACAGGTGTAGATCGAATTTGCTACTTCTTCCATTTGACACTTTAGATAATCGCCCGCGAAACTATAAGAGAACAACTGTAACAGTAGAGCCCCCAACACTGTTGTTGTTTTAGTTATCGTCACTACGTCATGGTGTTTTAACGCCAAGATAAACTGAAAACCTGAAAAATATAAAATTACGTTGCATGCACAAGAGGAGTCAACTCTATGGCACTACTTATTGGATAATTTTATTATGTTATTAAAATGTCACAGGCTATACAAGATTAGAAAAGATATTGTGGATATTTGATAAAATTATAGCTTTGTAACGTATTTTTGCTTTCATTATTATACAAATTTATTATTCTAACGGTATAAAAATGCTTGTATTACACTAATCACACAATCGAAGAAGTACTGAAATTGAAAGATATTTACCCATTATGCAAATAAGAATAGAACTAAACAGCATTTGTACAAGCAAAACAAAACTTATTACATCTATCAGAAGTTCTGTATGCTCTATTAGATAACGATGTCTTGATGCCAATACTGAAAAATCTTCACTTAGATTTTTCCTTTTCACGCCATAATTGGAAAATTCAATTTTTAGGATTTCCATTTGCCCGCAAATATGAATAATAATTGCGAGAAAAAGTGAATCAATTCCTTTATAAATAAATTTTAATCTTGTATTAAAATGACATGTGCATTAAAAGTTTTAATAATGGCTTTATCAGTCAAAATTTGCTAAAAAAAATGATACAAAATGAAAACATAATTTTATCGCATTGCAGGATGCAACATATATTTAAAAAACCAACATATATTGAAAATCAATTTTATATATAATATCGATAAAAATAAATGTTTTTTTTTATTAGACACCAAATTTACTGTAGATATATATTAATATTTATATAATAAAATCTCTGACAGTAGAAATCTACACGAAGAGAATGGCTGGAGTATCTAAAAATTTAGCTAGATACAGATCTAAAAATAATTTTTTTGCACTATCAAAATAATTATGTAGAACACTCAAACTGATTGCTAAAATGTCAAAATTTTTTACAGCATTATCATCATACATTAGCGATCTACTATAATTATTTTGATGGTGCAACAAAATTATTTTCCGAGAGATCTGTATCTAGCTAAATTTTTAGATACTTCAGCAAAATCGTTTTTTCGTCTAAAAATTATGAAACTTATTAATAAATGTTATTAAAAGTAAAACATTTAAAGTATATTAACATAGAAGTGTCTTTAATATTAATAATTAGCTTACCACAATTGCCGTTGGCATTGAGCATCAATAGAACATATTGCACCGTAGAGACCGCCAAATATAAACCTGAAGGTACAGAAGAGTTTCCAAAAATGCATGTTAAGGGCATGGGTAATTCCGATGCTTGATTCTTAATGGATTCATTAACTTGGATATCTTCACCGCCTGCTAGTACAGGCAACAAACCGAAAATGGTCGCAGCAAAATAAGCGAAAAATAGGATACTGTAACACATCATCCTTCCCATGAATGCGTGCCGCCGCATTATCGTACGCTTCTCCTCAGTGTCGACCGCAAGATAATCGTTCGCAGCAGAAGTAAAGTTGCGAATCAGATTGTCGGCGTATATGCGGAAGAATACTAGCTTTAGTACAGAGAGAATGTTGCAGCTCATGAGCATAAGAGAATCGAGTTTCACCGTTGTATCGACGCTACCGAGAAAAATTTCGAGGAACAACATGATCATCATCACGGTCTACACAGACAGAAAGGATGGATTGTTTATTACGGAACTTTATTCGTCTTTCGTTTCTACTGTGTCTGTACTAAACATTTCACTTGAACTGTCGAACTGAATATGTCGAAAAAGAAATAGGAAGAGAAATATTATTGCGACATATAAAATGAAAATTGAGAACATACCAAACCGAAGCTGCATACGAAAGCACGTACTGCGGAACATACATTATATTTTTGCAAGGGCCAAACGCCTAATGGCAGAGTTAAGAATTTATGGGGGGCAAAAGCGTATACCATATCGTCATTCCGTGACATTATCGCAGTCATAGAGCTGCACGTTGCACGGTACTCAATAGTATCGACGTTTTTCTACAGTACTAGTCAACCATCGGCGTTCGCTTTCGCATTCATATTTTATTGAAATTGCGCAATTTTAACATTTGCTAAAGTACCTTGTTATTCCAAAACACAGTTATTTTAAAAACAGAAGGAAACAATTTTTTTTATGCGGAGTGGAGCAAAGGTCGCGTTGAGAGTGTTTTATTTTTCTTCCAGTGCATCATCTGCCGTTGATCGTGCTACAATACTTTTTATTTCGATACCATTTTTTAAAATAAAAAACACGTACAATTAATGCAAAGTTCAGTGCATCAGTTCTTAGACAACACGAGTGTTGTTCGTAGTGCTACTAAAATTGTTCAGTTACATCTCATATTTTGCTATTGTACGATATTTTTAATTTGGTTTGAATAGAGAAATGTATTGCAATTATAATTTTCACTTTTATTAAAAATCTACTCTATATGTATGTTATCTATAAGTTCTCTAAATGTGTTTATTAAAAATGTTTATTATTTGCTTTCAATGTTTTAAGTTTCCATCATCACGCGTAAAACAGACAAATACGAAACAGAAGATTTTAAGATGCTCATGTAAGTTCCCAAGTCCACCACAACGAAATTTCCAGCTTGCAATTTAATCGGAAACTGGGTCCACATCATGATAAATACTATATTTCTTGTTATTTTTGCAGGAAGATCATACCAAACGCTCTGATAGACGGACAGTGCGACTTCTTCCATCTGCGTCTTTAAATAATCTCCGACAACACTGTACAGCGTTAACTGCACCAGAAAAGCGCTAAGTACCAAGAAACTTTTTGACATCATACCAAAGTCACTGGTTGTTAAGGCAATGATAAACTGAAATCCTGCAAGAGTAAGCCCGATTAATGTAATGTTTTATAAACATTTTATAACATTCTATATTTTTATTTTGTTAATGCGCTGTGTCAAATTGATGTGTATTCACCTACTATAATTATAAGCATACTGCTGATAAAAAGTTGTACCATCAAAACAAAGCTAATTATCTCAGCGAGCTTTCTGGCCATTCTTATCAAATGATTATGTCTCAAAATCAGTACTGTAAAACGTTCATTGACTTTCGGACTTGTAACGTCAAAGTTCATAAAATTCGCTTTTAAAATTTTTAATTGGCCGCACACGTGTAATGCGATATGAAGAAATACAGAATCACTGCCTACAAACATTATGTTTATAAAAACAAACAAGGTGTCCAAAAATTAGATCAATAAACTTTGGATGGTTATAAAAGACACCAAAACAACCCAATTTTGTCAATATACCCAAATGTCTGCATAAGGTATGACAAGAATGACGACAATAAGGGTATCTCTTCATATAAGCATGCAACTTCTCTTTCATTACATCTTGCTTCCTCATAAATAAAATACATTACGGCTATAAAATTTGATTAAATTCATTAAACAATAATGAATCTCTGTTCTAATAATGAAATTAGTTTTTGATTCACTTTAGTGCCAAAACGGCTCATGAGTTTATTGATAATAAATGCTTGTTATAGTGTCCTTTATAATCACCCGAAGTTTGTCGGTCTAATTTTGAGACATGCTGTATAAAAATGCAAAACACATAACTATCAATTATAGATATTAAAGAATACTCACACGTAAAATATGTAATACGTATTAATATTTTAGAAATACTAATAAAACCTAAATTTAATATTTGCAAAACTAAATATTTTATTAAAATTGATTATAAAAATTTGCTTTATGCACATTTGATAATTAAATAAATTTGCATTTAAAATATATAATTATATGCATACAAAATATAATTGCATTTAAAATATAATTTTTGGATTAAAAAATTTATTAATAAATATTTACTAGAAACATTTCAAAACACGTTAAAAGTAATTTATATACAAGACAATTAATATTTTATAAAAATAAATACGCAAACATTAACTGACTTACCGTGATTGCTAATGCACATGATTACTAGATAGATATACTCCAGGGCGAAAATCACCAAATATAAGCTCGTCGTAATGTGAAAGTGCGCTAAGGTACATGTCGACGGAATAGCATAACCCGCTTGATGGCCTAGGATAGATATATTAGCTTTAGCCTCCTCGCTGCTTATTTGTGCGTGTCCCACGATGAAGATCACAGAATCGACGTAAGCGATCAACAGGGCGATAATGCAGATTACCCTTCCCCAGAAAGCGTGATCTCGCATGACGATGCGCTTCTCCTCGGTGTCGATCGTAAGATAATCGTTCATGGCAGAAGAGTAATTGCAGGTGAGATTATCAGCGTATATACGAAACCATATTATTTTTGTTAAAGCGAGAATACCGCATGCAAAAAGCGTGAGAGCATCAAGATTCGCGTACGCGCTGGTACAGTTGTAATAGAGTTCGAGAAACTGTACGATCACCACTATGCTCTGCAAAGAAAATAAGAATTTATCACGAAGTTGCTTAACTTGATCTTTGTTTCTACCGTGTACAATACTATTTTGCAGTTCGACCATTCTTATCAAATTCATAAGATCGATAATCAGTTTATTAAGCTTTATACAACAGACGTATATAATAGAACACATGCTATCCTTTAGATCTTGCCTACAACTCTCCAATGGCAATGTTATCAGTCTATTACATATGTCTATGCTTTATACATCGAAAACACAAGCAGAAGAGAAATTTCCACGGCATTTGCGATATGAAAATTGGAAACGTACCAACCCAAAACTAGACAAGATATAACGCAACAAAGCGAACTTATCATATTCTTGCAAGGGCCAACTACCTATGGGTACAGATAAGTGTTTGACGAGGGTCATAGCGTACGCCGTATCGGCATTCCATGACATTATGGCAGTCAAGTAGAGAGACACTGTACTCACCAATGCCAACCTTTGTCCATAATGCGGTTTGATCATCGGCGAAATTCGCGTTCGCGTTCATATTTTATTGAAATTGCATTTTATTGAAGTTGCGCAATTTTAATACTTATCCGTATATTCTGTTATTTTCTGAAGTACAGTTCTTTAGAACAATTGATGCATGTAATGTCCTTTTCGTGGCAGTAGAAAAGGGTGAAGAGTAATAGATAAGAGAGGGAGTTTTAGTTTTATTTTGATATGTTTTCTGTGGTACGTTGCTATAGTGCAGCTATACTTTTTATTAAAAAAAATATAAAAGGCAACACAGTTTTGGATTTAATGTATCCGTGTTCTAATCATCAGCAGGCACTAGGTGACATACAAATTTTTTCATGTTAATGTTTATATTAGGTACGAAAGTGTTAGTTATTTAATTATTTGCTTAATAGTTAAAAAATGAAGATTCTTAACTCGTTCAGGTTGACAGATTTATAGTAATACGATATAATTTTCAATTTGATAGAGAGCTGTCTTTACAATTTTATATCGTAATGAAGATTATGTTTCTTGTCACATTCATAACAAATGCTTCCAAAAATAAACAGTCTATAGACCGATGAAAAAGAAGACACATAACAAGTACAAATAAACGTATATACATACGTAACAAATATACGTGTTGATAAAAAAAAAGTAAATTGTATAAAATACTGAAATATAATTATATTTTATTTTAATTATCTACATATATGTGTCACTTTTTACAAAGCAAGAGTTAATATATACCGTGAGGATTCATTACTCATTAATTGTCACCCGTAAGAACGATATATACGTTAAGGTAGTTCTCAAGATATCTGTCATAGTGTTTCGCGTAAGATAGAAAAATTTTCCGGCACTAATTCGAAGAGGGGTCTTCATCCTCGTCATAACAAAGATCAGATCTTTCACCATAATGGGCGACATTTCATACCATGCAGAGTTGTATATGGTATAAACAATCGACTCGCTTTGAGTTTGCAACGTATCACCGGCATATGTATACAAAAAGGTCTGTACTAAACAAAACTGCATGGATACGAACATTTTTATCATTTCCTCATAATTTTGTTGCTTGATTGACAGAAGAAGTCCTACTCCTGAAAACCGAGATTCTTTGAATTAAAATATTACGTTAGATTTTTATGTTGAATATATTTTATATTTTGAAATATTTGTGTTTTATAATTTTTATTGCTATTTTATTATTTTTTACTGTTTATATTGGTACCTTGCTTTTTCTTATTAATTTAACATTTTACCACGAACTTTAAAAATAACTCAATAATTTAATCTAATTATATAAATGTACTGTAAAACCATTTTTGTAATTTTTATCATCTTTACGCAAGTTTCGAGATATAATTTGGTATCTTTGTAAACCGTTTCGAAATGGGCTAGGTCAATATAAAACTTGTCAAAAAGAGTGAAATATATATACCTGAAGCTGCAATGACTACGCTAATTATTAAAAGGCGTAGTAAAATGTTAATATTAAAAGCATCTTCGATATTCCTGGCTAATGCTATCAGTTGGCAATGTCTTTTGACCAATGGCTCCAAAACATGACGTTCTCCATCGTAGCGTTTTTTACTGATCTTCGTAAACTGTATTCTCAGAAGGTCTAACTGACCGCAAAGATGCATAGTGATGCTGAAAAAGAAGCTATCGCAAGCACATTCTGATATTAATACCACAGACCCCTGTATTATTTGCATTGCAAACAATATTTTATACGTGGAATATGAAACCCCTTTGTACAGACATGTTGATGGAAGGACAAAATTCCATGCAGTTTCAGTGCTGTTACCTATAGTTGCAGCCTGTACACATAGGGCGTATTTATTTTTACAAAATAAAATATTCTTTTTATTAACAGAACATGATTAACTTTCACTCAGTAAATTTAATACAACCTTTTGCTTATTGCTGAGGAAGACGGATATAAACCATAAGATGCCTCCTACTGCTCCAACGACTAAGTGAGACAGGGCGACCAGACGTCCTGTACGTGCATACGCCATCATCACTACACGTGATTCTTTTTTCAGAGTCGAAGCCCAGTCATCGATCGCAGAATTGATATTAACGGCGATCTTTTTCATGTAAATTCGCGGGAAAATAATGTTCAACCACCCATGCATGGTGCTTTCCGCTAAACGAAGAATTTCCAAACCGTCTCTGTCAGCATCACAGCTTTTGAAAGCTTCTACCAGCACGTTGATCATTGTGAGAGACTGCACAGTAACAAATATAAAATTGCATTCTCAGGTGAGGTTCCTCTATGTAAAAAACAGTAAATATTGAGAAATAACGTCCACACACAAACCATTTATTAAATTCTAATCGTTAACTGCTGTTTATGCTTAAGTTGTGATAAATTATATTGTGCATAATATATATTTTTTATTATACTATATTTCATACATTTTAAACATTTCTTATACTTGTATATAATGTTACAGAAGTTATTTCAATTACAGATAAGTAAACATTTTTTTGCATAAAAATTGCTAATAAAAATTTTTTTTATATAAAAACATGTATAATGTATATTATTATAAGTAACATATATTTATATACGTTATCTCTATCTTGTATAATCTCTGTTCGTACCTATATGCCGGAAAATAAATAATAAAAAAATTAAAAAATAATTATAAAAATAATTTTTGCATTGCTTCTTATAAAAAGTGAAGTTTGAAGAAATAAATTAAAAAATTGTCCATATATACATATACATATATATAATAAACAATTGTATATGAAGTATAATTCAATATAAAGTACTGTATCCAAACGTAATCGTTTTCTTTATATAAAAAGATAATGCAAAAATTATTTTTCTAATTATTTTTTAATTAATCTTCTTATTATTTTTTATATGTACATACAGACAGAAGTTAGATAAAAGAAGAAACAACATATTTTATATATTTATTTTTATATAAAAATTTTTTATCGGGTAGACTGAATTATTTAATAATTTAAAGTTAAACTTCTTATGATTTTGAAGCTGATTGTGAGTGAAAAAGAAGCAAATGCAGTGAGCTATTTACCTTGTTATCTTTTACTAAAAATTTGCATATTATTTTGCTCTTACCATTACAAGCAGCTAATTTCTACATTGCACGTTATCTTACATTATGTTACGTTATTTTACCGCTGCTGTGAACATTATGAACCACTGAATTGTGTAAACTACGTTATTCCGTTGCAAAGGCCATAGACCGAGTATCCACGTCATCGATTTTATCGTAGAAAAGCCATAATTTATACCACTGTTCCAATTCGTCTTCATGTTCAGCGATGTATTGACTGGTTTCAATTTCGAAAAGGAAAATTGTAGTTGTGCGTGACAGGTTCCTCAGGTCGATGCCTTACTTTTACCCTGAAGAAAATTATAGTCTATACGCATCTACTCCTTCCGCAGTGACCAAACTTTAGGGTGGTAAGATAAGTGATATGACAAATTTATGCCTACCGCGCATCTTTGAAACGTCCGGTAATACATACAATTTTCAATGCTGTTGTGTCAGCGCATAGATGCTCACGATCAATTACGAATTGAACGATGATATTCTGTATAACAGGTCTGCGTTTTTTTCCGCGAGCAAAATGTTTCTTTTTTTTTTACTGTTATACATCATCTATTCGAAGCGATATAGTGAATAAAGTAAAGAAAGTAAACTATCGACAGTAGTACATGCAGACAAAGTAGAAGAAGCCATACGAGTAACGGTTGCAGAGGAAGTATAGTGAGTTTGTGGACACGGTTTAGAGATCTGGAGGAGCGCTAAAATTCTGATATTTACTTGATCACTAAAAAGAACTTTAAAAAAAAAAACTACATTAAGGTTGTAATTTTTTAAGCAAGACAGCATACCCTTTTTAAATACGCATATATTTTTGAGAATTTTTTTATGAGTATAAGAAATAATAGATTTTTGGCACGGTAAAACGGTTATGTTATGATTGTGATTAGCAATTTTAGAATTAGTAGTTGATTAAAAAAAGTTCATCGTAAAATATTGAAATATAATTATATTTTCTATTTCTTATTTACATATATATGTCACTTTTATAACGCAAAAGTTATCGAGGGAAATTTTTATTCATTAATCAGTGTCACCCGTATAAATGAGATATATGTTAAGGTGGTTTTCAAGATATCTGTCATAGTGTTTCGCGTAAGATAGAAAAATTTTCCCGCGCTAATTCGGAGAGGGGTATTCATCCTCATCATAACGAATATCAGATCTTTCATCATGATGGGCGATATTTCATGCCATTCGGAGCTGTATACGGCATAAACAATCGACTCGCTTTGATTTTGCAACATATCACCGGCATATGTATACAAAAAAACTTGTCCCATATAAAACTGAGTGGATAAGAACATTTTTATCACTTCCTGATAATTTTGTTGCTTGATTGACAGAAGTATTCCTATTCCTGAAAACCGAAATTTTTTAAATTAAAATATTACATTAGATTTTTATGCTGAATGTATTTTATATTTTGAAATGTTTCTTTATAAGTTGTAATTTTTATTGCTATTTTATTATTTTTTACTGTTTATATTGGCACTTTGCTTTTATTAATTTAAAATTTTACCGCAAACTTTAAAAATAACTCAATAATTTAATGTAATTATATAAATGTACTGCAAAACCATTTTATCGTCTTTACGCAAGTCTCGAGATATAATTTTGTACCTTTGTAAACCGTTTTGAAGATGAGTTAAACCAATATCAAACTTGTCAACAAGTGAAATATATACCTGAAATTGCAATGGCTATGCTGATTATTAAAAAACGTAGTAAAATGTTGATATTAAAAGCATCTTCGATATTCTTAGCCAGTGCTATCAGCTGGCAATGTCTTTTGATCAATGGCCCCAAAACATGGCGCTTTTCATCGTAGCGTGTTTTGCTGATCATCGTAAACTGTATTCTCAAAAGCTCTAACTGACCGCAAAGATGCATAATGATGCTGAAAAAGAAGACGTCGCAAGCACATTCTGCTATTAATAGCACAGACGCTTGTATTATTTGCATTGCAAACAATATTTTATACGTGGAATATGAAATTCCTTTGTATAGACATGTTGATGGAAAGACAAAATTCCATGTCGCAGTGCCGTTACCTATAGTTCCAGTCTGTGAATATACACATAGGACGTATTTATTTTTACAAAACAAAATATTCTCGACTTTATTAACAAAACATGATTAAAGTTTACTCAGTAAATTTAATACAACCTCTTGCTTATTGCTGAGAAAGGCGGATGTGAACCATAAGATGCCTGCTATTATCCCAACGATCAAATGAGTTCGGGCGACCAGACGTCCTGTACGTGCATACGCCATCATTATTACACGCCACTCTTTCTTTATAGCCGGAGACAACCAGTCATCGATCGCAGAATTTAGATTAACAGCGATCTTTTTCATGTAAATTCGCGGGAAAATAATGCTTAACCACCCATGTGTGCTGTTTTCTATGATGCGAAGAATTTCAAAACCGTCTCTGTCAGCATCGCAGCTTTTGAAGGGTTCTATCAGCACGTTGATCACTGTGAGAGACTACATGGTAAATATAAAATTGCGTTCTCATGTGAAGTTACACTACATTGAAAACAATAAACATTGAAAAACGACGTCCAAATTATTTATTAAATTTTCATCGCCAATTATTTTTAGTTTACAGTTATGCATAAATTAATGTGCATAATATATGTGTGTGTATATCTTTTAATATACTATATTTAATACGTTTTTTTAATATTTTTTATACTTATATACAATGTTGCAGAAGTTACTCTAATTACAGATAATTATAAATGTTTTATGTCAAAACTTTTGTAAAAAATTTCTTGTATAAAAACATATATAAACACATATATAATTATATATAAAGTATGTGCATGTATGTTTTTCCTCTTGTATAATTTCTGTTTGTATATACAGGAAAAATAATAAGAAATGGAATTAAAAAGTAATTACAAGAATAATTTTTGTATTGCATTTTATAAAAAGTAAACTTTGAGAAAATGAGTAATAAAAATTGCCCATTTATAATTATATATAAATAATAGTATATAAAATATGATTATACATAGAATATTGTATAATCCAATCGCAGTTTTACTTTCTGTATAAAAAATTAGTGCAAAAATTATTTTTTTAATTATTTTTTAATTATTCTTCTTATAATTTTTATACATATACAGACAGAAGGATTAGATAACATAACAGAAGAAAACATATATAAATATATTTTATGTATATTTTTATGTAAAAAGTTTTTTACTGAGTGTACTTAATTATTCAATAATTTAAAGTTAAAATTCTTATAATTTTGACTTTGAAGCTGATTGAAAAAGATTTAAGCAAATACAGTGCGTTTCTACCTTGTTAACTTTTACTAAGAATTTGCATGTTCTTTTGCTCTTACCATTACAAGCAGCTAATTTCTACATTGCACGTTATCTTACATTATGTTACGTTATTTTACCACTGTCATGAACATTATGAACCACTGAATCGTGTAAACTACGTTATTCCGTTGCAAAGGCCATAGACCGAGTATCCACATCATCGATTTTATCGTAGAAAAGCCATAATTTATACCAGTGTTCCAATTCGTCTTCATGTTCAGCGATGTATTGACTGGTTTCGACTTCAAAAAGGAAAATTGTAGTTGTGCGTGACGGGTCGCTCGGGTCGATGCCTTACTTTTGTCCTGAAGAAAAATGCTATCGTCTATACGCATCTAGCCCTTCCGCAGTGACCGACCTTTAGGGTAGTAAGATAAGTGACATGACAAATTTGTGTCTATCGTGCATCTTTGAAACGTCCGATAATGCATACAATTTTCAATGCTGTTGTATGTCAGCGCATAGATGCTCAATCGATCAATTACGAATTGAACGATGATGACCTGTATAGTAGGTCTGCGATCCTTTCCACGAGCAAAATGTTTCTTTTTTTTTTTACCGTTATATCATCTATTCGAAGCGATATAGTGAACAAAGTAAAGGAAGTAAAACTATCGACAGTACATGAGACAAAGTAGAAGAAGCTACACGAGTAACGTGGTTGCAGAGGAAGTAGTGAGCTTCTGGACACGGTTTAGAGATCATCTGGAGCAGCGCTAAATTTCTGGTATTTACTTAATCGCTGAAAAAACTTTTTAAAAAAGAAAAAGTATACGCCTAATATATAAAAAATATTTAAAAAAGAGTGAGCATTATTAAATAAAAACTTTACAGCTCAGGAATAGATGTGTAATTAATTTAATTCTCAAAAAACGATATTATTCAAGATACTACATAAGTATGTACGTATATGTTTTGTCCGAAAATATTTTAATTAATTGTATTTACGTTTTTTATATAGCATAGACAATTTTTACGTGTTAACTTGTTGAACACATAACTTTTATGTGTTCAGCAAGTTGTGATTAGATTATTTGATAATTTTTATTAATCTCTCAGTGTTACTCGTAAAACCGAAACATATGAAGCTGCCGTCTTCAGAATATACACCATCGCTTCGCAATTAGCGTAGAAAAATTTTCCACCAGTGAGACGAAACGGATAGCTTGATCTCATCATCGCGAAGTTCAAGTCCTTCATCAATCTTGCAGGAATCTTAAACCAGGAAGCCATGAACATTGCGTGGAATATACCTTCACTTCCTTTTTGCACAAAATCACCGCCATAGCAGTACACCAGCGATTGTAGGAACATGTAGTTCAACAGTACAGTACTTTTCGTTAATTCGACATAATCGCTGTTTTTTAAGCAAACTATTATACGTAATCCTGAAAGATGTTTCAAACAAAGATGGAAATTTAAAAATTAAGGTAATATACAATTAAATGTTTAGTCGTAACATAACATGATACATTAAAACGTCTTGATAAAAGGATTCATTAAGCTCACAATAAATTCAATTATTATATACGATACCTAGTAGCGCGAGCACAAGGGTTACTATAACAAGTTGGAATAATATAATCAGATAGAACGTATCTTCTATATTCTGATTGAGCTCCACTAATTCACAGTGCCTTTTAACCAAGTTAATAAATTGCTTTCGATGATTAATCCGAGCGTCTGGCTTGCTTGCGAAAATTTTAAATTTTGTTTCAAGCAGTTTAAGTTGACCAGTGAGGTGTAGAGTAACGCCAATATAAAAACTGTCCGCAATAGATTGCAATACACATATCATGAGTAATTCAACCGTTTGAAACATGATGACCATCACGTACTGTAAACTGGTAATTTTATCACCTAACTCACCACATGGCACTATAAACATCCGGTCTTTCGTACCGATATTATCTGCAATAAGAATACAAGTTTTAAGTTTTAATAACAATAGTAACGTTATTTTAATTACTAATATTAAAATAAAACAGAAAGATGAATAATAAAACAATATAATAAATGTAAATGTAATAATAAATAAAATAACTTTAGTACTTTATTTAAATATTTTTAAGATACTAACAGAAAAATAATTTTAATCACAGATTAGATCTATTTTGTAAAATGGAAAGACCATAAAAGAGATAATTATTTGCACGATTGCATAACATACTTTTTATCTTCATTTCTCAGTGTCTAGAACAGACAGTTTAATATAATAACAAAAAATTTTGAAAAACAATGCATTCTTAAAGGTGCCAATTCATAAGACGCTGAAAATGAGCGTCAACAAGTTGAACGTAGTGGTTTCGCTTTGACGCTAGCGTCAAAGAAATGAAGTTGAATTTGTTTAATATTCAGCGTCGTCGCTGAATCGTCGTTAATCGTCCCAGTACAATTAAACATAGACTTCGAAATACGTAAAATATTAATTATTTTCAAGTAATATCTTCAAGTAATAATATTTTATGGATACATATATAAATAAAAGATATTATTTCTGAAGATTTTTACTTGCTAAAAATGAACGTCGAGCGTTAACGTGAAAAGGCACCTTAATACACTGAAAAATTCAGGCAATATCAGGCAATTCAGGATTCTCTTATTTTTTACTATTTTTAGTAATTATTATTAATGTTCTTACGAATGTATTTAAAGAGCACTTCTTATTAAATAATAATTTAACAAGTATTATAGAAGTATTACATTACCATTTGATACGTTCACCACTTGACCTGGTAAAAATAGGTCTTTTAAGTTTATAAGTACGACAGAAAGTACATAAAGGGAACCACATGTGAAAGCTAAGTACAGCATGAACAAAGTACATAGCCTGGATTTAAACGCATGTTTCTTCATGATCTTGTACGATTCCTCGTCATTCTTTGCAGACGACCAATCGGCGATAGCAGAATTAATATTTTTTGCCATCTTACTTCCGTTAGCATTAATACAGATGTATTTCAAAGTTAAGGACAACGTGGTTGCAAAATATAACATGGCTTCTATATCTGTACCAGCATCACGATTATTTCCAGTGAATTCCATATACAGGAAGATGAGTGGTGACAACTAATAATGATCCCGTTGCCTTAGAAAATATGATATATGCGTGTACAAGCAACGAGTATAAAATATATCCGCATTCGAAAAGCTCGAACTGCATTTACGAAAATATTTGGTAATTCTTCTACGTAAATTCTTGGACTTAGAAATTGAGAGAATCGTCCCGGTATACTTTTTTTTCCCCTCTGTGTTGTAACGCGTTTCTACAATTTCTTCCCTCCCTGTCGACGTACTGCCAACGTACCTGTATGAATATCATTACGCTCCATTGAACTGTCATGAATATCCTCTTCTTCTGTAGCGGCCATATACCGAGTATTTGCATAAATGTTCTTTGAGTAGAGAACTCGTACGCGATATCATCGTTCCAAACATCATCCGACATTATGGTAGTTGCACAAACTACACGGATGACTGGACATTCGAGACTGATCGGTTGTTACGGGTGCAATTTTCTATATCGCACAAATTCAATGTTGATTTGCGTTGTCATGAAACATTATCATGGAATATCAACCGCGAATTAGACATTATCTCTATTAGACTCATATTTTATTAGCTCATGCAGCGCATGATGGATGGTAGTAAGATAAACGTGAAAAGAGACAGTACAATGTCTTCTATATACTGCGGCATCTACCACTATGTCGCAGTCATGAGCGCGATAAAAAGAAGATCGCGTGAGCAGTGATGACGAAGAAAACGTGCATTGTGCAATATAAATGATAAATTAATTTAGAATTTGAATATAATTAACGGAAATGTAATTTTGTTCAATCTGATGTCGATGTATTCAAGAGCAAGTGTTTGTAGTGCAACCTAGCTAAGACATGGATTTTTGAGTTTTAATTGAGTGTAAAAAACTGAGCAATATACATCGTGACGATGCTACGCAACGATTGGAGTATTCGAGATTGGAGTAAAAAGCAATAATCGGTATGTTTAGATTATGTTAGTAAAGTATAATAATATTGCACAATTATTATGATGTAATATTTCTTTCAAAATGATGGAAACGAGTTTATAAAAGTATAAACATTGAATAAAAAAAAAAAAAGAAAAACAGAAATCATTTTCTTGTAAAGGTATATGGAGGGTACAGGGGAAAAACGCGATCAATGTCCATCCGAAGTAATTTCGAGAAAAACGCTATTTTAAGTTTAAGACATTAGATATCTTAGAAAGCTATTGAAAAAAGTACTGGCAATGAATATCGGAATGCATAGTGTTTACTTAGTGCTTACATTGTGTGTTGGACTCTGGTGATTTTTCCTTAGCACGGTACATCCTTCGGCCTTATTCCTTATTTTTAATTAATATATAGTAACTGTTTTTGATCAAAATGGATAAGAATTATAAAGTTCTTCGAAAATGCTATAAGATAGCATGCTCAGATCAATTTCGATAAAAAGTGGATTTTGATCGTTTTTCCCTTATACTCTTCATATACAATGAGTTAAGTTTGTAATTTTTTAAACAAGACAGTATATACACACATCTTTTTCAAATACGTATATTTCCGAAATTTCTTTATAAAAAAAAAAATAGATTTTTGGCACGGTTAGATGGTTATATTATAATTTTAATTAGCAATTTTATTAAAATTATAGTAAACTTTTGTTTCTACAGAATTCTATGTCGCCAAACATAATTCCGAATCGTAAATTTATAATTTGTGAAATATTTTTATCATAGGCTTTATATTTTATGTTTCTATCATTACACGTAGTACAGATAGATACGAAATAGAAGTTTTCAGGATACTCATATAAGTTGCTAGGTTTACCACGATGAAATTTCCAGCCTGCAGCTTGACGGGAGATTGTGTCCGCATAATGATGAAGATTAAATTTTTCGCCAACTTCGTAGGAAGATCATACCAGATGCTCTGATAAATGAAAAGTCCAACTTCTTCCATTTGGGATTTCAAGTAATCCCCGACAAAACTGTATACGGATAATTGTGTTAGGAAGGTACACAATACCATGCAGCTTTTCCCCATCATGACAACGTTGTGCATTTTTAACGCTAAGATAAATTGAAACCCTGAAAAAAATTATTTATCTGCTTAATATAAATTCTTATAACTTGTAACTTAAATACTTTGCAAAACCCATTAATACCGTAAATGATATAATATTCACCCATTATACACAACAATATGCTGCTAATAAATAACTGCGTCAGCAAAACTAAACTGATCGATTTAGTTAGTTCCTTAGCCAACGTTATTAGATAGTTATGCCTCTGAATTAGAGCATTGAAACGATCATAGACCCTCGGGCTCGAGGCACCAAAGCCGATGAATTTGGCCTTTAGAATTTTTATTTGACCGCACATATGCAGTGTAATATTGAGGAACAAAGAGTCATTACCTTTATAGAAAAGAAATATGATAATACAGACTTTATTTTATTAGTGTAGTAAAAAACATAATTTTGTATTAAATTTCTTTGTATTATTTCTATCTACAGAATTACGTATTTAATCTCATTACATCTTTATATTTTTTATGCTGCTATATTATATATTTCACCATATATATGTAATTATCTTTAGAATTAACAACAAGCAGAGACAGTTAATAGAGTTACGTTAATAGAGTTAATAAAAATTCTGATATAATTTTCTATAGTATTACACGATACGAAATGTAAAAAAAACATACAAATCAACAAATAAATATTACCGTGATTACTAGTACACGTAAGTATTAGCACGATAAATTCCAAGAAACAGATAATTCTATACATGCTTGTTGGGACATGCAAGTATTCTAATGCGCATCTTGATGGCATTGGATAGTCCAATACAACGTCTTCATTTGTTACGTTAATCCGGTTATCTTGATCATTAGTCAGATCTTCGCCCAGAAGAGGAATTAGCGAATATATCGTCACGCTAAAGTAAGAGAAGCACACCATGAAACAGGAGACGGTTCGTCCCATAAAAGCGTGTCTTCGCATAATGGCACGGTGCTCCGTGTTTTCAATCGTCAGATAATCCTTCAGGGCAGAGCCGTAATTGTCAGTTAAATTTTTCGCGTATATGCGGAAGCATATAGTCTTCAGCACTCCGAGCACGCCGCAACAGGCCAACATGAGACCGTCTATGTTCTGCTCCGCGTCAGTGCAGCCCATGTGAAGCTCCATGGAAGGCAAGATCACTATTATGCTCTGTTGATATGCGTAAATGGTATATTTTCTCATTCAAACAGCTTTTGTGTCTAGAAAAAATATGTCCCAATTTTTTCCAGATCGATGGATCTTTGAAAATATTAAAGTTTAATTATAAACGATGGTCTTTCTTTAAAACTGGAGTAAATGACGCTATCTCAGTCCTCTACGCATAAAGTACGTTTAAATTATCTGACTGATTTAAAGGCACGTAAAATTGAATGCCTATAAGGAATATCAAGATAAACTTAAAATAGTGAGTAATATAAATTTTTGAATAATAAAAAATAAAAATTAATAGATATCAATGAGAATCTTTTTCCAATATTGTACGTATTATGCATTTAGATTGTCTTTCTTATGATACGATCTATACTTTTTTTGATACGTTACTATCAAAAAAATGTCATGTCGATGCGATTCTTGTTAGACACGAATGATAAAATTACAAAAAGCGATATAGCACCCCCGACATGCTACCCCCGGAATTTCTCAGAAACAGTTACGCTACCCCCCTCAGCATGAACAAGAAATAAGCCGTAAGTTCTAAGCAGAAGTGTCTTCGTTAGTCAATTTGCAACAGTCTACGGTTGTGTATCTATGATATTTTCGATCAATGAGCTGCTATCCCTAAAAAAAGAGTCAATAATATCCATCGTTTAGGAATTTAAACACTTGGTACTGTTATCAACATCGAGAAAGTTTTATTTCAGAACGCTGTGATGTCAACGTAAAAGTTATTCTCTACGTTTTTACAAATACGCGACAAGGAACGTCGTAATCGAACTGAGACGATGCGTACCATGCAACAAGTTGCCAAGATGCATCGTATTAGCGAGTAGACGTTATAAACTTGAAGTGGCCAAACGCCGATGGGCCACGCTAACAGCTTGAAGGGAGTCATCGCATACGCGACATCGTTCTTCCATCGTTCGCTTGCCATCGGGTCGGAAGTAATGACTGTAACTGATGCCAATAACCAATAATGTGCCCAGGTACGTCGGTACACACAACGCAGGTATTACTATTCATTTTTTATTCAGTTTGAGACGTATACCCGCTTATCAACCCGCCTCTACTTTCTTAACGCATTATCAGAAAGTACAGAAGATTACGCTTTTACGCCAAATTGTCGTTGGAGAATTTGCGTGACCGTTTCTTCTAAGTTGCTGCGGATGTCGAACGACTATATTCTTTACTGCACGCAGAGGAGACGTTTACTTGTACAATTCAGTCGCTATGTTATTCTCCGAGTGTACGTTTCATTTCGCAATTTTTGTTCGCTACGTTGACGCTCGGTCGAATTTCGCTTTTCGAATTTTTCTGTTTGAAAGTGATACAACAGGTAAGTTACATTTGTCTATTTTCTACTTTGCAAGTCATTTCGAAAAGTAAAAAGCGAAATTAAGATTTTTATTAAATATATATTTATATTTCAATATTTCTAACAATGTTTATTGAACAAGCATAATTTGTAATACAGAAAAATAAGAAGCCGAGAGTTTTAGAACATATCTGAAACTATTAAGATCTATAATATAGAATTTACCTACTTTAATGCAAACGGGCACATTAGCACGAACTATTATAAAATATATATCTCGCACAATGCTTGTAGGCAAGTCATACCATTTACTTAAATAAATCGCGCGAGAAATAGCTTGCGTTTTTAACGACAAAGTTTCCCCCATATAGCAATATAAGAACAACTGTATCATTAATATATTAAAAGAACCTATGCATCTCGTGACAAGAAAATAATCGTGGTTTGCCAACGACACAATGAGCTGTAATCCTGAAAAATATTCGATATTTAACAATCTGTTTATCGTAATAATTAATTTGTAATAATTAATCTTATTATTCTTTTCTAAACGATTGATGAATTGGACATAACACGAGCGCAATGTGCGATTATTATTAAGAAGTTATGATGTTAGAAAAAAAAGAAATATACTATCTGTTTTAAATTTTAATTACCTATTAAACATATCTGCGAAGCGTGGAGGATCAGTTGAGCGATCAAAATGATATCGAGGGTATTAACGATGTTTTGAGCTAGATTCAGAAGCAAACAGTGCCTCTCGATCAGTGTGTTCATTTTAGTTCGTTTCCAATAACCGTTCTTCTTCTCTTCGTAGAACCGCAACATTTCTAGACCGAGCACTTCCAGTTGACCACAGAGATGCATGCAAACACCAAAGAGAAAAACGTCGCTGCCAATATTCCCCGTGGGTATGCTGATCAGCTGGACAGTCTGAAGAATAAATATACCGTAGCAAACGATCGGAGTATCAAACGGACACATCATCTGGTGAGGCAACGCTATAGCTCGCATCTCTTTCTCGGATTTCGCAGTTAGCGTGACGTTCTGTGAAGAAAGCAACGTTGCAAAGGATAGTAGTGGTCCAAATATCAACGGCATGATGACAAAATATGAGGAACCCATCTGAAAGAAGAAGACAAATCTGCCCAGATTGGCGTAGCTAAACATGACTTGCCGATGATCCGGTTTTGTGATATACGCCCAATCGCTCGCTGCATTGTATAGATTCTTCAACAGATTGTCGCGATGCAACCGTATCAGCGCTATTTTTATGATGGTCAGAATTCCGCATGAAACTAACATGAAGTGATCGATGACCATAGCCAAAGTGGCACTACTGTGGTAACCAATGTCCACACTTGTATAAACTACCATAATGGCCTGCCACATAAAATAAGTACGAAAATAATATATTTAAAGAATATATATATTTTTATTAGAAAATTTTATTTGTTTTATATGTACGTATAAGCAACAGAATTGATTATAGCCTTTGATCTTAAGAAATATGAAATAAGAATGCTAAAACTCAAAATATGTTAATTTACAAAACAATACAAAAGTGCGTGTTCATATTCTTATCTTCCACAAAATTAGAAAGATTTTTTTATATAATTTACTTATATTTAAACAAATATAATAATAAATATTAATATACAGCACTTCATATATTATAGAGCAAACTATATATTAATAAATGAGATAATTTTACTTTTAACAAGATAATTTTCAACTGGGTAACTTTGAGATTTATATTATCAAAAACAATAATTTAGATAGTTCTTAAATGTAAAATGTTATGAACTTTTGGACTTACCTGCGTGACTGTAAGAAACAGCGCGCGTAATTTTGCAAAGTTTCTACCACGATCCACGGGCCATGAACCAAGCGGCCACATTACTCCCTTATACAGAGAAAATTCGCGAGACATTTCTTTGTTCCATATTTTGCATGATGCCATCCTCGCATGTTAAGGGTTACGCAGTCATCGAGCGTAAGCACAAGCTAACGCAGCTCGTACTTTCATTCATTATTGATCGGAGCGCATTTCGCTATGCACCCCAACGTTGAATGTTTCTATGGCCTTGCGCATTTGCAGCTCTTACGCATAGCCGGAAATGGCTGTTCATCATAATTTGTAAGAACCTAGCTCTAATATGTGTCATTGATCTAATAGCTTGATGATAAAGCACATGTCAGTTTCTCATATAGGGTTCTTACTTTTATATATAGAGTCCTGACCCTCATATGTTCCCGTTGCAAAAAAAAAACAAGTTTTTACTTTCTATCGCCTCAGAATTCATGTCTAGAGATCCGCTGAAGATCCGAGAGAAATATATTCGCCAAGATAAATTGGATCAAGATAGTAAAAAAATATGAGTGAGTAATTCATTAATTGTATCAGAAATCTTTTTTCTGAATTGTAATTTAACATTTAATTTAAGTAGAGTTTAAACCGTAATTAAGTCCTTTATTGTAATTAATTTTTTCGTTAAATTACTACATTTACTCGATACGTGGTACTATCTAACATGTTAAATAAAATCTCGAATAATATACATATCTAGAATCTAAAATAAAATATCTAAAATAGAAAGGACAATAATTCATAGACTATCATGTTTCCACCATTACGCGAAGTACAGACAAATACGAAATAGAAGCTCTTAGGATACTCATGTACGTTGACAAATTTATCACAATAAAATGTCCAGCTTGTAACATGACGGGAGATTGTGTCCGCATAATGATGAAGACTAAGTTTTTTGTCAGATCCGCAGGAAAGTTGTACCAAGCATTTTGGTAAATTGAAAGTCCAATTTCTTCCATCTGGGATTTCAGATAGTCCCCGATAAAACTATATAGCGTTAATTGTAGTAGGAAGGTACTCTGCACTATTACACTTTTTCCTGCCATAACAACGTCGTTGACTTTCAATGCTAGAATAAACTGAAAATCTGCAACAGAAATTAATGGATTTATTATAATATAACTTTGTGTTTTACGAAACAGTAAATGATAAAATATATATTCACCCATTATACATAATTGTATACTGATAATGAATAACTGAATTAGTAAAACAAAATTAACTGTATCGGCAAGTTGTCTGGCCATTCTTATTAAGTAGCTATGCCTTTTAATTAGCGCGATAAAACGCTCATAAACCTTAGGTGTTGTAACATCAAACTCGAGAAACTTGGCTTTCAAAATTTCCACTTGACCGCAAACGTGCAGCGTAATGTTGAGAAACGTACAGTCGGTACCTTAATAAAAAAAATTGATATATGATATTGTAATATTATGTTAATATATGGAATGATATATTGATATTTTTGACATATTATTTAAAAGATATTATTTATATAATTATTTAAAATATATATTTATATATCAAAATGTATGCATCTAATAATTTTTTCTTTCGATTCTACATTTGTATAATTATATGTTCTTAGTTTCATTTCTTATGTATTATATTTTTATAAATATATTTCTACATTTTTATGATATTAAGTTGGCTCATCAATTCGTCAATTTCCGTTTTTCACAAAAACATTAATTTCAGTTTTGTAATAATATTGTTGCATCACATGAAAATTAATAAAAAATTCTGATGCATGAAATTATATAATTTTGCGTTTATAAAATTTCTTAAATGATATTATATAATATAAAAAATAAGCAAAAATATCAAACAATAAATATTACCCTGATTAGCGTTTCCTCCTAAAATAAGTGAAATGGTTTCGATGAGACATGAGATTCTATACATGTTTGTTGGGACATGCAAGTATTCTAATGCGCATCTTGATGGCATTGGATAGTCTAATACAGCGTCTTCATTTGATACATTTATCTGGTTATTTATATTATCACCCAGAAGAGGAATTAGCACAAATACTATACAACCAAAGTAAGAGAAACCCAGCATGAAACAGCAGACAAATCTTCCCATAAAAGCATGTTTTCGCATAATGGCCCGCTGATTTGTGTTTTCAATCATCAGATAATCATCCACAGCAGAGCCGTAATTGTTAGTCAAACCCCTTGCATAAACACGAAACCATACTATCTTCAGCACACCAAGTATTCCAGAAGAGATTAACATGAGGCTGTCTACGCTTTGGTCGGCATCAGTGCAGCCCATATAAAGTTCGATGGAAGACAATATCACCACTAGGCTCTGTTGGTATGTGTAAATCGTATATATATTTTTACATAAAGTTTTATGTGTTTTAAAAGAATTTGTCTTGATTCTATAATATTTTAATGAGATTTTATTAATATTAATTGCAAATAATACATTTTAGAGTTTTATACAAATAATACGGCCCATTTTTGTCTACGAGCATAAAGCATAAAATGATGCTAAAATATGCCAGGTTGATTTAAAAATGCATAATAGTACATAATTATCTGTTTAAAGATTTAACTGAATATTTCTCAAAATAACGAGACAACAAACGATATTAAAATAATAAATGATAAAAATGATAAAAATCGTATGTATAGCATCAATTTTTCCAAAGTATAAAACACAGTTTAACAAAACTCGATATCAATGCTTGCTGTTCTGTCTCATGTCATTCAACTAGTTCGTTTTCTCACACGAAGTATGAAATAAACAGTATAGGTCTAGAATGAGCAAATTATGCTATATTTAAGTATGAACGGCAAACAGACACGAAGATTTCAAGAAGAGAAGTCTTTGTTAGTCAAAACTTCCAAGAGCTTACGATCGTGATCATTTACAATCCATTCGATATGTTATTATCTCTAGAAAGTAATACTTCACTGTTCACGTTGTCAATAATGGGACATATATTGTCCAAAAATTCAAGCACTTCGTATTGCCGTTGCAAAGTTTTATTTAGAACAACGTGATGTGAGAGATGTTTTACGTATATGTCTTTGGACTATCGCGCAACAAAGATCACTGACATCGATGAAGATGCGTACCACGCAACAAGTGGCAAAGATGCATCGTAATAGCGAATAGATGTTATAAACTTGCAGTGGCCAAACGCCGATGGGCCACGTTAGCAATTTGAAGGGGGTCATCGCGTATGAGACATCGTCTTTCCATCGTTCATTCGCCATTGAGTCGAGGTAATAACTGTAACTGATGCCAATGACTGATGATGCGCTTGGTACATGGACGTAATGCCTCTATTCCGATTCATTTTTTATTCAGCTGGAGACGTATACCCGCTTATCAACCTGCCTCTATGCTCCTAACACATCATAACAAAATGTAGAGAATTATGTTTTGACGCAAATTTTACGTTATTGTATACGAATTTACATGACTACTTCTCCTAAGTTGTCTTTCACCGAGCAACTACTTTTTATATTGCACAAACTGTTAGATAGAGCCGTATATATTTCTTTCACTATGTAAGCGAGTGTTTCACATTTTATTTTAGTTCAATATTATTTTTGTTAAATAGTATGAATTTAATCTATCCAAAAATAAGAATACGTTTTGTGTAAATAATTTGTTTCTTTACCTTCTTTCACAGACTATTAAAATCAATAAACTGATAAAAGATTATGCGCTATGAATAAAGTAAGTCTCTATTTCAAAAATTTTCTTTCTTTTTATACCGATACATTAATTTAGTATCTAATAATAAGTTGAAGGCTGTATATTGTTAATAACAAACGTAACAAATTAATTTAACATAAATATAACTGTGATTGTTATAACGAGCAATTTTATTAAAATAAAATGTTCATTTCAATACACGCTTTTTTATGCATCCAAGTCGTCATTCGCTTAAATTGTACATTAACAATTCATGGAATAGTTATTTTTTATTTGTTATATTTCACACTTTTACCATTACACGAAGTACAGACAGATACGAAAGAGATGCTTTTAGGATGCTCACGTAAGTTGCCAGATTTATCACGATAAAATTTCCAGCTTGCAAGGTAACTGGAGACTCTGAACGCATAATGATGAAGATTAAATGTCTCGTCAGTTTTGCGGGAAAGTTGTACCAAGTGCTTTGATAAATAGACAGCCCTATTTCTTCCATTTCAGATTTTAAATAATTCCCAATAACACCGTATAAAGTTAATTGTGTCAGAAAGGTACTTTGTACCATTATATTTTTCACAATTAGAACAATGTTATTTTTTCCTAGTTGTAGTATAAGTTGAAATCCTGAAAAAAATATTTGTTTGCTTATTATAAATCTTTATGATATAATTTATATGTTTCGCAAAACAATGGCCGCGTTCAGCAAACACAACTGTTGAGTGTCGTCTCATCAACACGCTATGCTGATTTGTTGAATAAGAAGAGCTAATCACGTTTGATTGCTACTGAGTGATTTGTTCTGCTGAACGCGCCCATTCATAAGTGACATATCATTCACACACCCATTATGCACAAAAGTATACTGATAATAAATAATTCTATCAGCAGAACGAAACTAATCATTTCGGCAAGTTCTCTGGCCAGTTTTATTAAGTACTTGTGTCTTTCAACTAACACGTTAAAACGATCGTAAATATGCGGACTTTTGACGTCAAAATCAAGGAAATTGGCTTTTAAAATTCTCACTTGGCCGCAAACGTGTAATGTAACGTTTAAAAACAATGCGTCGTTACCTTTATCAACAGGATCGAAGCACATTGATATATATACAGTTTTCATGGATACATTTATATATATACACACACAAAATAATATTGTAATTGAAAAATTATGAAAGATATATATATGTATATTTTTTGTTATATATTTTACACACACTTATACATATATATATATATATATATATAATGTTTAGTAATTACCGTGCCACTTCTCGTGAGCAGGTAGAGCGGATTAAACTGAATAGAAAAGTTTTTTTATCGCTTTGCAAATTTCTAAAAAATTAGTGAAAAATTAATTAATAAGAGTTTGTAATTAAGCGTGCATTCGCGCGATTCAGCCCTGAGTTCCGTAAAGCGCATATGCGCGCATTTATCTGTAGCATACGTAACGTTTACTATAGAAAATGTGCGCATATTCACTTTACGGAATCTAAGGAAGATATCCCAGCCTAGTGTTATTTGTTTTTGCTAGACGCATGCTTCTTTTAAAACCTTGTCGCGTATTATAACAACCGCAACTATATGACGCTGGGCTGTCTCTTCTCATCGAATTACGCGGATGCACACTGATTAGCAGATCTTTATTAATTAATATTCTTCATTAATTTTAAAAAAACTCACTAAACAGTAAAGGACTTTTCTATTCAAATCAACTCGCTTTATCTACGGTAAATAAATGGCACGGTAATTACCAGTACATTTTATAATTTTATATTTACTGAAAATAAATAAAGCAAAACTACCGAGTTTTAACAATATTGTTTATAATCGGCAGACCATAAATAATTTGCATTAATGAAGATAATAAGACTTTCTTATGCATGGAATATATTTCTATATGTGCGGTGTATTTTGAAATAAAATTGCTATAGCAATAAAAAATAATAAGACAAAAAAACGTCAAATAACAATACCATGATTAGCAGTACTCGCTAGTACTAATGCAATAGTATCGATAAAGCAGAAGACTTTATGTATGCTCACTGGAGCATTCAAGTACTTCATAACGCATTTTGATGGTATTGGATACTCCAGCATGGTACCCTCATTCGTTATATTGACATGCTTATTTTCATCCAGAATAGCGATTAACCCGTACATCACACAACTAAAGTAAGCGAAGCCCAAAATTAAACAGCAGATAATCCTTCCCATAAAAGTATGTTTTCGCATGATGGCACGCTCCATTGTGTTTTCAATTGTCAAATAATCCTTCATGACAGAGCTATAATTGTTAGCCAAATTTCTTGCGTAAATGCGAAACCATACTGTCTTCAGCATACCGAGTATCCCGCAACAGATTAACATGAGGCAGTCTACGTTCGTCTCCGCGTCAGTGCAGCCCAAGTAAAATTCGATCGAAGGTACAATGAACATGAAGATCTGTTGACACGATTTCACGTGATATAACATCAAACAGATATCAATTTACGTTGATCTCGAAAGATCATGCGTCACTCATCGTCGAGGCTAAACTCAGAAGGTGCATACCGCGCAACAGATGCCCAAGGTATATGGAATTAGCGAAAAAACATTGTGAACTTGAAGTGGCCAAACACCGATGGACCAAGCCACCAATTTGAAAGGGGTTATCGCGTATGCGATATCGTCTTTCCATCGTTCACTTGCCATCGGACTAAGGTAATGCCTGTAACTGCTAACAATAACCAATAATGTGACATGCTCGATACGACGCCGACGTCTGCGTTCCGGCTCATTATTTATTCATGTTGAAACTTATATCAACCTGCCTTTATGCTCTTAACGCATTATCGCAGAATATATAGAACTATGTTGTTACACAAAATTATTCCTCAATAAGGATACATAATGTATAGCCTCAATAAGAATTTATTGTGACCACGGTCTTACACATATATTTGACTATATTTCTTAAGCTGTCGCTTATCGAACAATCGCTTCACACTATCGTACATGGAACTGGCAAAAAGAGAACTTTACATGATCCGCTCATACTACCGTATGTTCTACTGATAGTATTATATTTTATTTTGTCTTAACTCCTTTATTTTATTTTAACTGTGAATGTTGTAGATTTAATTTGTCTAAATATAAAAATATGTAACACGGATGAGTGGACTTTTTTTCTTTAAAAGAAGTTGCTTTGTCAAAGCGGATAAAAATGTTAATTTTAGACAGAAATATTTTTATTACATAACTTTTACAATTAAACTTTTCTATACTTTAAAAAGAATTTATAGGATATTATCTTATTCCCTTAATAATGAATAAGATTTAAAATAATGAAGTTTTTAAACAATTTATTTGCTTGTAAAATATATTTCTAATAATGTTAAGTTTTGATGTAATATAAATTGGAATTATATACTATTCAATTAGGCTAAAAATTTCGCATTGCTATAAATACTGTTCTTAAATAATGTGTCACATAATATATAATATGAAAAATTTATTAGTATATCTATTTGTTTATTGTTTTTCAATCATAACACGTAAGGCGGATAAATAGGATACTGCAGTCCTCAGAATGTCCGTGAAGGTAGCACGTGTAACGTAGAAAAACTTTCCGGCGGTCAGACGAATGGGTATATTTGTTTTTATCATGATAAACGTCAGGTCTCTTATATCATTGGGTGAAAAATCGTACCAGTTACTGTCATAAAGCGCGAATGACAAGGCTTCGCTTTGATCCCTCAAATTATCGCCCGCGTACGAGTACAGGAAGCATTGCAGCAACATAACGATCATTATCACAATGCTCTTCATTATCATAACCATGTCGTGAATATGCCAGGATACAATAAGTCCGAAGCCTTAAATTAATACATTTTATTCTCCGTGACTGGTTCTCTTCAAACTATATTATATTAAAATGTTTGATTAAATCCCCATATATAGCTGATACTATCTAATGTATGTATATAAAAGAATCCCCAATTTATGGCTTGCAGGCCAGATCTCGCCCCAGAGAATGAAGTTATATCCGACTTGTTATTGTCGTTATAATAATATAAAAAAATTTTAAAAATATATATTATTTTTATATAATTTTTACAAAAATATAACTTATCCGGTCTTCCAAACATTACAAACATTTTAATATATTGCCTTTTTATTAAAAAATTTTTGAAAACCTAATATAGAGCATACTGATATATACGATTCAAAAACCTATTAATGCATCAATTTTCTTACAATATGCAAATTTATCTTTTATTTAAACAAAATAATTGTTAATATAATATAGTATTTTTTTGTTGATATCCAAATGCAAATTATACACTACTATTACGAATATAATTTTTTGAAGAACTTATATAATAATCCTTGTATATTTCATATTTCTTTTACACAATTTTTACGTATTAAATATTATGACGTATAAAAATTTTTATTAAAATTAATAAAAAAAATATTTAAATTATTTAAATTGTATATCGTTGAAGTAATAATTAAATATATATTTTTTTTGGATATCACGGACTTTCTTATATTACGTGAAGAGATTTTGAAAATAACTCATTCGACTTACCTGTTATGCATATCAAAATGGCGCTGGTAAAGATTTGAGTCAAAATAATTATACTGTAAGAATCATCAATGTTTTCCGTGAGTTTTAACAACTCTCGATGTCTAATAACGAATTCTTCAAAGATGCTGCCTCCTTTGCGCTTGTGCTTGCGATCGATCTGCTGAAAATCGATCATCAATAGTTCGAGCTGTCCGCACAGATGCATCGTGACACCGACGAACATTCCCTCCGTACAGCAGTTTCCAGCGTACGTGATCAACAACTGAATCACCTGGTAGAATGTAATGAGGACATACTGGAGATTGGAGACGGACTCGAAAAGACAGGACATTGGGAGGACAAATGTCCTTCCGTTGGTGGTCGCGTGTGCAAAGGGCAAGAGTCGCAACATATAAAATATAAGGGCAATAAATCCAGAGTAAAACAGAGACAACGAAATTATTCTCGCCGTGCGTGCGTACTGGATCATGATCTCGCGCGACCTCGCATCTTTGACGCTACACCAGTCCTGGATAGCGGAGTATAAACTGATTGAAAGGGTGGATCGCTGTATCTGCAACAGGGTGAGTTTGACAATTCCTAACATTGCACTTGAGGTCACCACGTACGTGTCAATCGGATCTGCTGAGGAATTGTCGCAGGCGAGATATACATTCATCAATAGTGTTGTCATCAGCCAAATCTAAAATAATAGATTGTTGCGGTAAATAAAAATGTTATCTAAAATTTTTTATTTGTAATCTTTACGCTTGCAGGTAAAATTTAATTTTTCTTGCTTTACAAAACTATTTTTCTCTATACTTACTTTAAATGACAAACTAATTTTTCTAAATTCTAATCATGTCTCGATCAAAGTACATTTCTATATTTATGTAAAACCACTTATAGCAACATTATATGAAATGTTTTTACATATTTTGTATCAATATTAAGGGTGAGAAATTATTCCAGAAATATATTCAAAGATGCATTGATCAAATACGAGATAGATATAAACACACCTTAATGCATTTTTAAATACATTTCTACATACTTCTATATATTTTTACTTGTCACTGAAAATTGTCAAAAGCAATAAATAAAATGTATATATGTTGTTTTCGAAAATATCATTACATTCAATTTTATTATTGTCTATAATCTACAATATTAATTAAAATAATAGTAAATTAATAATATAATGATATTAAAACAATATGTACATTATATGAATATATACATATTTGTATATATCTAGTATATATAAACTTAAAAATTAAAGTTTCTCTCACCTCGCTTGCAATCGCAAAGAAGTAACGTATCTTCGAATAAAAGATGTCGTTTTCAATTGGCCATACTCCTATAGGCCATGCTAAAACTTTATAACTTGACAATGCATAAATAGCATCCTTGTTCCAGTACACCATTCTCGAAGCGATGCCAAACTGATTGTCCAGATGTACATCTTAGCGCATAGCAGAGTAATTATGCATTAATACCATCTTTATTAATCGATTTGCCACGCTGACAACACCACGGCACTCGGACATGTAACATCTCTTCTTCGCCCACATCCTAGCTTTCTCATATCCTATAACTATTGATCGAGAGAACATAGCAGCATTGAACTACTCGCACATCAGACCATATGCATGTTTAAAGATCATGCACAGTGGGTATTTGCTCGATGGCAAATTGCTCGATCATCGAACAATATTATTGCCTTACAATCCCCTGATGTTCCTTGAATTGTCTAGCGTACATAAAAAATATCGGTGAGCAGAATTTGCAGTTTATGCAATTTATTAATTTTCCAGGAAACGTATCGCGTATGTTATTCGGTAGTCTCCGAAGTAATGCATATACTTACAAATAAAAAGAGAGACCACCGTGGAAGTTTAACTTATAACAAAATGTCCATGTGGTAGGTGGTAAATGTACTTTAGTTTCCAGTACAGAAACATTCGAAGTTTCGAATTGTGTTGAACGAGACAATAACGTAAACGTACTTTATATTTATTTCTATGGACGAAAAGATGACGGTACATCCATTCTGCACGCTGTTACAATACTTGATGACAATGGTAACACACCGGTATACGTTTGTGAAACCAACTGTTTTAGAGAATGTAAGTAATTTTAAAATAATTTATACTTTTGACACTTTACACTAGAAAAATAAAATAAATATACAGATATAAAAAATATTTTTTTACTAAGCGTTATAGCGTTTAATGTGCATAAATTAATTTAAAAAAAAATTTTGATTAACTTATTACGTCAAAATGAACTATATAAGAATAATAATATTGCTTAAAACCAAGAATTGTATATAATTACAATTAATAAATATACTATATGTTTTAGATTATACTTTTAAAAATATGCAGATATAAATGTACAATGCTTAGTAATTAGTAGACTTATTTATTTAAATTTTTTTAAAATAAATTATTATATACATGTAATTTTTTTATACAAAAATAATAAATAATATTTCCTTGCATAGTAAGCATTTTTAATAAAATGTACAACATGTAGTCACTTGTTTATAAAAAATTAAGTAGTTAACTTAAAAAAAAGAAACATATAAATATATTATCTAAATAAGTAATTAAAGTACTATTACATTTTTTGAAGCAAAAAGTGTAAAACATTTTTAAATAAGCATAATACTAATAATTCTATGTTGTAAACGTTTGAAAAACTTAGCAGGAAAATGCAAATATGATTAGAAAATATAAACAGCACAATACACTAAAATATATAAATATATTCTGTTTCATTTATCTACACGCTATTATCTACATGTGATATGGCATAATAAACAAACAATTCCATACAAAAATTAGATTATTCTTCCATTGTCACTCGTAAAAACGATATGTATGTCAAGGAAGTTTTCAAAATATCTGTTGTAGTGCTTCGAGTAATATAAAAAAATTTTCCAGCAGTGAGTTGAAGAGGGGTCTTCGTCCTCATCATAATAAATATCAAATCCTTCACTATAATAGGCGGCAATTCGTGCCACGATGTGCTATATATTGCCGAAACGATTGATTCGCTTTGTTTCTGCAAAGTTTCACCGGCATGCGTGAACAAGAAGGATTGTACCATAAAGAACTGAACAAAGATCATACTCTTTACTATATCAGTATAATTCTGATGCTTAATGGACACAATGATACGCATTCCTGAAAAAAACATTTTTCTGTTTCTTCCTTTATCATTTATTTTCTTTATCCTTCATTAAAGTTTCAACATTATTAATCAAATTTGTGTAAGTCTATTGTATACGAAAAAAATTCATTCTTAATTCTCACAATAATAAAAAATTTTGATCTTGTCAGTAACAGAGGAAACGGAATGGGTATTTATGATATATAAATACCTGAAATCGCAATCACAATGGTAGTTATTAACAAACGAATTAAAATATTGAGATTAAAGGAGTCTTCAATATTTTTAGCCAGTATTATTAGTTTATAATGCCTTCTGATCCAAGAACTCAATATGCTGCGATAATTATTCTTCTCGTTAGCTTTTCTACCAACGAGTTCAACAAAGCGAATCCTCAGGAGCTCTAGCTGACCGCAGAGGTGCATGGTAATAGCAAAAAAGAAGCTGTCGTGTGCGCATTCTGCTACGTAGAGTATAAACCCGATAGGTATTTGCAGGAGGAAAACTGCTTTGTATGTAGAATATGAAATCCCTCGGAATAGGCATGTTGACGGAAGAAGGAAATTCCATAAAGTTACAGTATCATTACCAATAGTTACGACCTGTCAAAACATCTTAAGATGTATTATGTAATTTTACAATAGTAACAACAAGTAAAAGACACGGACAAACAGATGAAAATGCAATATTTGTAGAAAAAAATGTTTATATCATTAATAATAGGCCTGCATAATTTTATTTCTTATTAATGAATTTAATAGGTTAATATATTATTTATCGATTTATACCAATCATAATATTCTTCACGAACGAATTTTTACGAATTATTTTTATTATAATTGCTACATTGTATAGTGTCAATGACAGTTTAATGTAATTAAAGTAACAATTTGTGTCACAAATAAAATAGCACCTGTTGTTGATTTACAATAATAGCGGAAAGGTATACGGCACCGGCTAGAATTCCAATTATCAAATGAGACACAGTGATCACTCGACCTATTCGTGCATATCCCGCCATTATTAGATAAGACTGTTTCTCCGTCAACGAGGACGACCAATCGTCAATTGCAGAATTCACGTTGACGGCAATCTTTTTCATATAAATACGCGCAAAAACAACATTTATCCACGAATGAAAACCAGTTTCTATTACAAGAAAAATATCCAGAACGTCTCTGGTATCACCGCAGTTTTTGAAAGGTTCCATCAGCATGATGATCACTGTGAGAGACTATATAATAACAAAGATTCAACCATTTTGAAAATAAGTATGAATTGTACAAGGTTCTTGATAATAAAAGTAAAACCTGATAATAAGAGTAAAAAAAAATTTGTCTTGCAATGCGTAAATTTAATTTAGATTAGACATGGTTAATTAAACGTTTCATACTTTCTTAAAAAAAATTACTCCTATAATTCCTCAAAAATTTAAATTAGCTGCAAAAAATTGATTAAGTTATTATTATTAAATTATGATTAGGTAAACTTTTAGTAAAACATTTGTGTATCAACTAGATATGTCTTTGCATTTATCATTACTTTTTACATTTAAAAAGGAAAGCAATTTTTGCACTTTACGCTATTTTGTCTTACCTCAACAATAAATATGATAAACCAGCGAAGTGTGCAAAGCATATCGTTCTGCTGCAAAGGCCATACACCGACTATCCACATCATCTTTCTTACCACTGAAAAGCCATAGTCCATGCCGCTGTTCCAATTTGTCTTCATGTCCGGCAATATGGTACTTTCGATCTCAAGGAAATTGTGACGGTGTCATGCATGAAAGAACGTTGTTCAATTTATGCAATGTATGGCTTCGGAAAGAATTACCGTAGTTGGACGTACCATTTGTTCATCGATCAGTTTTTATGGTAGTAAGATAAGTAGTACTAATGTTGGGTGATCATACATTTTTGTAAAATATCCATGTTTTTCCACGATGTGCGCAATTTTCGATGTTTACGATAGCTTTGCCATTCCACATTCGACATTCGTGAACGATCACGATTAAGACAACGACACAGTATAGGTATTGAATTTATGAGATCTGACAATAAAGTTCGCGAATTCGTCACGACACATATGTTGTTGCTGATTATTACTGCGGTCCCCTTCAAAGTAGTCCCCCTTGAGAAGTTTAACATTTGCCTCACAAAATATGTCCCTCGTCCAGATGTTTATGTCTATCGATTTCTCTGGGCGATATACCCATCTGATGAAATCGGAGAGCTTTCCAAGAGTTCCAAGCAAAGCCAAATTCGATATTCTTTTGTCCTCGGACGAAAGACGAAGAAAAGGAAAAGGGATGAACGAAGAAAGAAGTTCGGTTAAAGGAGCAGACCTTTTTGTCTCAATGAGAGTGCAGTTGTCGCGAGAAGCCACTAGACTAGACGGCTAGAGAACGAAATTCGACTCCGTCTCTTTCCTCTGGATCTTCTATATTTAACGCAACATAGTGGAAGGTTAATTATTATTCTCATTAATATTTGACTTTTTTTTATATAAATATTTTTATATTTTAATATTTGGCTTTGTATCAGCAATTAAATGATTTTTTTATTTGTTTTTTAAATATTTGTTTACACATTTTATAATTATTCTTTTTATTTGTATTTGCGATTTTGTAATTATTTTTTTTATTTATATTCTGTTATTTAGTTTTGTATGATTTTTATAATTGTTTTTTGTATTTATATTTTGACATTTGTTTTATGCGGAAACTATTGATTTTATTCAAAATTATCGAGATACGGAAAATGTTTATTTGAATTCGCTCAGTCTGAAAATGCAATAAAAAAAGTTTTTATTTAAAAAAAATTAGATCGACGTGGTTGTGACATTGACTAGACGTCATAAAATCAAACCCGGGTCAGCATTGTGCGATCTTACAAAATACTTTTGTTCAAAAAGTCTTTTTGCAAAATTGCATATTTTTGAAGTATTTGCTTGTTAACATTAAATTGAATCACCCTGCATATATCTCCTTAGAAGCAAAATACAAATATGATTAGAGAATATAAACAGCACAATATACTGAAATATATAAATATATTCTGTTTCATTTATCTCCACACCGTTATCTACATGTTATATGATATAATACACAATTCCATATAATAATTAAATTATTCCTCCATTGTCACCTGCAAAAACGATATGTATGTCAAGGCAGTTCTCAGAATATCTGTTGTAGTTTTTCTGGTAATATAAAAAAATTTTCCGGCAGTGAGTTGAAGAGGTATTTTCGTCCTCATCATAATAAATATCAAATCCTTCACCATAATGGGCGGCAATTTGTGCCACGATGTGCTATATATTGCCGAAACGATTGATTCACTTTGTTTCTGTAAAGTTTCGCCGGCGTGCGTAAACAAGAAGGATTGTACTAAATAAAACTGAACAAAGAGCACGCTTTTTACTACATTCGGATAATCTTGATGCTTAACGTACATAATAGCATGCAGTCCTGAAAAGAACATTTTTCTATTTTTCTTTAATCTTCCATTTTCTACATTTAGATGCAATTGGTACTTTATTTCAATATATATTAGCATAAAAAATAATTTTGGTACAGTTTTTTAACAACAGATTTTATTAATTCAAGGCAGTTACTGTTTACTGTAGATGCATTATGACTTTTATAAGTTTCAACATTATTAATTAAATTTCTATAAGCCTATTATATTAAAAAATTTAGTTCTTTATTTTGATAAATTATAAAAGATTTTGATCTCGTCAGTAACAAAGGAAATGGAATGGATATTTACGATATATAAATACCTGAAACCGCAATGACAATGGTGATTATTAACAAGCGAATTAAAATATTGAGATTGAAGGTGTCTTCAATATTTTTAGCCAGTATTATTAGCTTGTAATGCCTTCTAATCCAAGAACCCAATATGCTGCGATAACAATTTTTTTCGTCAGTATTTTTTCCAACGAGTTCAACAAAGCGAATCTTCAGGAGCTCTAATTGACCACAGAGGTGCATGGTAATAGCAAAGAAGAAGCTATCGTTTGCGCATTCTGCTATAAAAAGTATAGATCCCATTGGTATTTGCATGAGGAGAAGTGCTTTGTATGTAGAATATGAAATCCCTTGGAATAGGCATGTTGACGGAATAAAGAAATTCCATAACGTTACTGTATCATTACCAATAATTACGACCTGTTAAAATATCTCAAGATGCATCATACAATTTTATTTTAAACGTAAAAACAAGTAACAAACGCGTAACAAATAGTTATGCGATATTTGTGGGAAAAAATGTTTATATAAAAAAAATTGAAAAAAATTTATTTTTCCTCTTTTCTGAAAATTGTGAATTTTTGAGTTGTAACAGCATTCTTCTCGAGATACAATATATTCTGATACAAACATCGAAGAGATATACAAACATCAAAGCATGTAAACATTTAAAATTTATTTTATATATGCTAAATATTGCTAATTAGTTTAGCAATAAACTTTGAATAAAAGATTTTTCAAATGTTATATGGCTTTAAACTTTTATTGGTAAAAATCCATGTAAGGATATTAATTTTGAGGTCATTGAAAACAATTTTACCGAAAAGTATACGTAAATTAAAAGTGGATGGTTTTTGGAAGTATATCCCGAATTTTTACAAATTATTTTTATTATCGCTACATTACATAGCATTAACGACAATAAAATATAAATTAAGAATTAAGTAACAATCTTTGTCACTAATAAAATGTCACCTGTTTATTTTCGATGAGAATAGTGGTAACGTGTATGCCACCGGCTAGAAATCCAAGCAACAATTGAAACACACAGATTATTCGACCCATTCGTGCATATCCCGTCATTATTAGATAAGACTGTTTCTCCGTCGACGAGGACGACCAATCGTCAATTGCAGAATTTACGTTAACGGCAATCTTTTTCATATAAATACGCGCAAAAACGACATTTATCCACGAATGAAAGACGGCCTCTATTAAAAGAAAAACTTCCAAGGCGTCTTTGGTATCACCGCAGTTTTTGAAAGGTTCCATTAGCATATTGAACACTGTGAGAGACTATATAATAGCAACAATTTAATGTTCCATTCATATAAAGGTTCACCATTTTATAAATAAATATCAATCAGATAGAAGTTTCTTGATAATTAAAGTGAAATAAAATAAAAAAACTTTGTATTGCGGATGCGTATATTTAATTAATATTAGACATAAATTAATTAAAAGGTTCATTTTATTTAAAAAAATTGCTTCTTAAATTCTTCAAAAATTTTAAATAGCCGTAAAAAAATTGATTAAGTTATTATTATTAAATTATGATTAGGTTGACTTTCGGTAAAAAATTTGTGTATCTATATATGTAGATATGTCTTTGCATTTATCATTACTTTTCACATTTAAAAAGGAAGCTACGTTTACGTAGATTGCTATACGCTTTATTTTACGCTATCTTGTCTTACCTCTGCAATGAATATGATAAACCAGCGAAATGTGCAAACCATATCATCGTGCTGCAAAGGCCATACACCGACTATCCACATTATAGTTCTTATCACTGAGAAGCCATAGTCCATGCCACTATTCCAATTTGTCTTCATGTCCGGCAACATGCTAGTTTCGACCTTAAAAAAAAAATTGTGACGGTGTCATGCATGAAAGAATGTTGTTCAATTTATGCAATGTATGGCTTCGAGAAGAATTACTATAGTCGGACGTATCATTTGTTTATCGATCGATTTTTACGGTAGTAAGATAAGTAGCGCTATAATGTTGCGTGATCGTACATTTTTGTAATACGTCAATGTTTTTCCATAATGTGCACAATTTTCGATATTTTCGATAACTTTGCCATATTCCATCGATATTTGTAAATGATCTGAAACAGCGACACAGTGTATTGAACTTACGAGGTCTGACAACAAAGTTTGCACATTTATTATTACGATACAGATCTTATTTCTTGTCTTACTGAATTTATCACTGTGGCCTCTTCAAAGTAGTCCTCTTGAGAAGTATAACATCCGCCTCGCAAATTATGTGCTTTTTTCCCAGATGTTTATGCTATATCGATATCTCTGCGCGATAAATCCGTCAAAATCTGAGAGTCTTCCAAGCAAGGCCAAGACCGATATTATCTTGTCCCCGGACGAAAGACGAAGAAAGAGAAAAAGGATGAACAAAGAAAGAAGTTTGGCTAAAGGAGCAGACCTTTTTGGATGGGTTGAGAGCGCGGGCAGTTTTGTCAATAATCCACCAGACGACTCCGTCTCTCTTCCTTTGGATCTTTCATGTTCAACTTTGTCATCACAGCATAGTAAAAAGGTAATTATATTACTCTTATTTATACATTTAATATATATATTTTTTAAATATTATTAATTGTTCTTCCCGATTATATTTTAACATTCGGCTTTGTATCGGCAATTAAACGATTCTTTATTTGCCTTTTTAATATTCATTTATACAATTATATAATAATTATTTTCAATTATATTTAACATTCGTGCGATTTTATAATTATTCTTTCCATCTATATTTGATATTTATTTGTGCAACTTTATAATTATTCTTTCAATTTAAATTTAATATTTATATTTGCGATTTTATAATTATTTTTTTTATTTCTGTTATTCGTTCTTATATAATTAAATGTTTAAAATTTTAAGGTTTCAAACATAGAAGCATAGTGTGGTAGCTATATGTATGTTAATATTCTTATATGTGTATTCGTACATGTGTATTTTTAATATTACAAAAATTGATTTGGCACTACAGACGATTGCACGTTATGATTATAATCAACTTTTTTATTAAAATGATTTTCTGTTAAATTCTTTCTTCACAAATCTCTGTCTTGCCAAATTTTTAGTCCAGTTTATAATTTTTCTGAATAATTCTTTCACCATTATCGCGTATTTCATGTTTCCACCATTACTCGAAGTACAGACAAATACGAAATAGAAGCTTTTAGGATACTCATGTAGGTTGACAAATTTATCACAATAAATTGTCCAGCTCGCAACAAGACGGGAGATTCTGTCCGCATAATGATGAAGACTAAGTTTTTTGTCAGATCCGCAGGAAGGTTATACCAAGCATTCTGATAAATTGAAAGTCCGATTTCTTCCATCTGGGATTTCAGGTAATCCCCGATAAAACTATATAGCGTTAATTGAAATAGGAAAGTACTCTGCACCATTGCACTTTTTCCTGCCATAACAACGTCGTTGACTTTCAATGCTAGAATAAACTGGAAACCTGTAAAAGAAATCACTTGCTTAATAGATCCTTATAATATAATTTCGTGTTCTACGAAACAGTAAGTGATAAAATATATTTACCCGTTATACACAATTGTATACTGATAATGAATAACTGAATTAGTAAGACAAAATTAATTGTATCGGCAAGTTGTCTGGCCATTTTTATTAAGTAGCTGTGCCTTTTAATTAGCGCGATGAAACGCTTATAAACCTTAGGTCTTGTAACATCAAACTCGATAAACTTGGCTTTCAAAACTTCCACTTGACCGCAAACGTGCAGCGTAATGTTGAGAAACATAGAGTCGTTACCTTAATAGAAAAGGAACTGATACATGATGCTGTAATATTATGTTAATGTTAATTTATAGAAGATAGATATTAATATTCGATATCGCTATTATTTCAAAAATATTATTTTTACAATTATTTAAAATACATATGCATCTCTTTTTTTACGCAGTAGATACGTTCCGCGTAAATAAAAATCAGATTATTTGAATAAGTTGACTTATCGTCAATTTTCGCAAAAACCGTGTCAATTTCAGTATTATAATAATATTGTTCATAATAGAAAAAAAGGTATTATTGAACAACGCATTATTAAAAGATTATTAAAAGAAAATTAATAAAAGGTTTCGATGTGCGGAATTACCTATATGATTTTGCATTTATAAAATTTTCTAAATAATTATATTATATTTCTAAATTATATAACACAAGAAATGAGCGAAAAAATCAAACAGCAAATATTACCGTGATTAGAAGTACTTGTTAGAATAAGCGAAATAGCCTCGATGAGACATAAGAGCCTATACACGCTTATTGGAGTATTGAAGTACCCCAAGGCACATCTTGATGGTACTGGATAGTCTAATACAGCGTCTTCATTTGTTAAATTTATTTGCTTATTTACACTATCACCCAGAAGAGGAATTAGCGCATATATTATACAACTAAAGTAAGAGAAACACAGCATGAAACAGCAGAGAATTCTTCCTCTAGAAGCATGTTTTCGCATAATGGCCCGCTGTTTTGCATTTTCAATCATCAGATAATCATCCACAGCAGAGCTGTAATTGTTAGTCAAATTCCTTGCGTAAATGCGAAACCATACTGTCTTCAGCATACCAAGAATTCCGCAACAGATTAACATAAGGCTGTCTATGTTCTGCTCGGCATCAGTGCAGCCCATATAGAGTTCGATGGAAGGCAATATCACCATTAGACTCTGTTGGTATGTGTAAATTATATAATTTTAATGTAAAATTTGGCGTGTCTAAAAAAGATTTGTCACGATTCTATGTATAATTGTACATAGAAGTATTACACAAATACTTTGATGAGTTTTATTTAAAAAATGCTAGAATAAACCAGCCTGATTTTAAAATATAGAAAGTACATAATTATATATTATTTAAAAATTTAACTACATATTTCTCAAAATAACGAGACAGCAAACGATATTAAAATAATAAATGATAAAAATTGTACGTAGCATTAATTTTTTCGAGCTAAAGTGTAAAACAGAGTCTAGCAAAACTTGATGTCAATGAGAATTTGCTTGCCATTCTGAATCATATCATTCATCTAGTTTGTTTTTCTCAGACAAATTGTAAAATAAGCGATATGATATACATCTAGAATGAGCGAATTATGTTTTAAGTATATTTAAGTATGAATAAACAACAAACAGACATGAAGATTTTAAGAAGCACAGTTTTTGTTAGCCAAAATTTCCACGGCTTACGATTGTGCTCATTTACGATCCACTCGATGTTTTATTATCCCTAGAAAGAAATTTTTCACTGCCTACGTTGTCAATAATGGGACATTTACTGTTCAGAAATTCAAACACTCGATGTTGCCATTGCGAAGTTTTGTTTTTCAGGACAATGCGATGGGGAGCGCGGTGGGAGACGTTTTACTTATGTCTTCGGACTATTACGCAACGAGGATCACTGACATCGAAAAAGATGCGTACCACGCAACAGGTGGCAAAGATGCATCGTAATAGCGAATAGATGTTATAAACTTGCAGTGGCCAAACGCCGATGGGCCACGTTAGCAATTTGAAGGGGGTCATCGCGTATGAGACATCGTCTTTCCATCGTTCATTCGCCATTGAGTCGAGGTAATAACTGTAACTGATGCCAATGACTGATGATGATGCGCTTGGTACATAGACGTAATGCCTCTCTTCCGATTCATTTTTTATTCAGCTGGAGACGTATACCCGCTTATCAGCCTGCCTCTATGCTCCTAACACATTATGATAAAACGTAGAGAATTATCCCTAGAAAGAAATGTTTCACTGCCTACGCTGTCAATAATGGCGGGACATTTACTGTCCAGATGTTTGCTTTCACGCAAATTTTACGTTATTGTACACGAATTTACATGACTACTTCCCCCTAAGTCGTCTTGCACCGAGCAAGTACTTTTTATATTGCACAAACTGTTAGATAGAGCCGTATATATTTCGTTTACTATGTAAGCGGGTGTTTCACATTTTATTTTAGTTCAATATCATTTTGGTTGAATAGTATGATGTGTATGGTTGATTAAAGGTGTCTTCAATATTCTTAGCCAGTATTATTAGTTTGTAATGCCTTCTGATTCAAAAACCCAATATGCTGCGATAAATAATTATTTTTCTCGTCAGCTTTTCTTTCAATGAGTTCAACAACATTCGAATCTTCAGGAGCTCTAGTTGACCATAAAGGCGTGCATAGAAATAACAAAGAAGAAGCTATCACTTGAGCATGCTGCCATTAAGATTATAAACCTCTTAAGTAATTGCATAAGAAAAATTAATTTATATATGGAATATAAAATCTCTTGGAACAGGCATGTTGACAGAATAAATAAATTCCATAGAATTACTGTATTACCAATAATTATGATCTTTTAAAATATTTCAAGATGTTATACAATTATAAATGTATCATACTGACATTATTTTGCTTATTAATATATAATTAAAGTAAAATTACGTAATAAAAAATAAAAATATCTTCTTTCCTAAAAGCATTTCCGATCACGTTTCTATCATTACTCTTAATACGGATAAATATGAGGCGGAAGCCTTCAGAATTTCCTTAAAACTCCTGAAATTTATTGCTAGAAATTTTCCTGCGGACAACTGATGAGGATGAGCTGCTCGAAGGATCATTAACGATAAACTTTTGATCACGCTCACGTCAAAACTATACCACGATGAGTTGTAAATCGCCGAAGCTAATCCTTGCGATTGGAATTCCAACGTCTGTCCGGCGAAACAGTAGAGAAAAAGTTGTATCAGCAGAACGGCGATGAAAAGAAGATGTTTCATGGCAGCGTATGTATTGTGCATGGAAAGTGTGAGGATTAATTGAAAGCCTGAAATACATACAATAACGAACATAATTATCGATAAGTTTAAAACATCTCTTGTGCAAATTTTTGATAAATTTTATACTTTTTTTACTTAATTCTATACCAAAAGCGAAGGTGTTAAAGATACGTTTGCTTCATATCTTTATCTTTTAAATGTCATGAAAATTATTATACTATATAATGTAGCAATATTATTACTCTGTTTCAAGACTTTTATAAAAATGTAAATTGGATTGCAACTTATTTGAAATAAAATGTACCTTCGACGCATAATAGAATAACACTCATTAGAAGTTGTGATAAGATGACAAAACTGAATGCTTTTTGCAGATGATGCGACAAATATATGAGACGATGATGTCTCTTCAACAAGACACCAAGCCTGTTGCGACTATGCAATTCCTTGCTGTCCATTCGAGAGAAGTCCACCCTGAGAACTTCGAACTGTCCGCACACGTGCATCGTGAGATTGAAAAAGAATCCATCGTTTCCACACTGCGAGATACAGTTGACAAGAATTTGTAATGTCTGCAGCACTTCAATAAAGCAGTAGGCAAAAACTGTATAACTCCCGAAGACGCAATAAGCTGCTAAAAGCAATCTCCTCTCGCTCGTTTTATTGTAAATCTGTACTTCAGAGGTCCAGAACAGATTAAAATTGGCGAATATAAAGGGCGAGAAGAGAAACATGCAAGAAGCACATCCAAAATAAAAGAATACCACGGAACCCAGTCTACCAATGCGCGCGTATTTCAGCATAATATCGCGCGAATAAGGATTTTCCACGAAAGTCCAATCATTGATAATAGATTCCACCAAAATTAATTTGTGTCTCCAATTCACACGATGCAAGATTAGTTTTGCTATACTAGTTACTGATGTGGACATCGATAGAAAAGCATCGAATGCGTCCTCATGACCACGACAATGACGGATAACTTCCAATGACAAGCTGATCGTTGCACTCAGCTAGTTGACAATAAAACAAAGATATTGAGACAGAAAGAGAGAGAGAGAGTGTTCTACATAAAAATACTTTATTTTTATCAAACTGTATTTTATCAAGAGACACGGTCTCTCGCCAAGTACACATATATATACATGGAAAAAACGGCTTTGTTAAAGTATTTAAAAATTTAGTTAATAAATTAATTATGTAAGACGCTCAAGCATGGTACTATAGAATATCAAAAAGTTTTAACATTCTAGTAATTAGCTTGAACATCTTACATAATTATTTTGATGCTCCAACAAAATTATTTTTGGATCTGTATTTACCTAAATTTTGAGATATTTTAGCAAAACAGTTTTTTTCATGTAATTTAATATTTATAAAATGTTTCAGCTTAATTGATGTGATAAGACATTATCGAAATTAAACACAAAGTGTGTGCGATAAGGATAAAATTTATTATTCCAAATTATACGATAAACGTTATACGCATACAAGAAAACAAAATAAAATTATTAAAAAATAATTCTATGTAAATTACTCTAATAATGTCTGAAAGTATAACTTACTTCTATTATCGTCGACATAAGCCATCTAATTCTTGAAAATATATTTTCCTCATCTAGTACCCAAAGTCCAAGTATTCCGAGAAAATATTTATAAAGCGTTAAAACGTATGCAGTTTCAGCATTCCATTTCACAGCCGATCTCATTCTAAAACTTTAAAACTTCAGATCGCAGCTATTTATTCTGACTTATTTCATCCGATGACAGTTATAATTATATTATATTGTAACAGTTATCGAGTTTCTCTTCAGTTCCGGGCTTCTTTTCAAAAACGAAGTAGCGTAGTCCGTTTCACCACGATAACTGCATAGTATGTGATACTCGATAAGTATAACCCGCATTTGTTTCGCTGCGACAACCCCTCGCA